CCACACGTTCCTTGAGTCCTGCTCGGCTCCCAGCCTCCCGACATCTTGCAACACTGAGTTCCTGTCACGGAGTCCCTGGGCGCTGCTCTGGAGCTGCTGCTCCCCATGAAGCCAGGCAGGACTCTGGGGAAGTCTCCTCTCTGGGAGTAGCCTGTCTGCAGGACACACAGCTCACCCGGCTTCCGCCTTCCTGGGTCCGACCTCGGAGCATTCAGCATCCTCTGCCCCTCCGTGTGCTTCCCACAGCGAGTCCGTCCAGGCAGGGCTCCTGGGGAAGCCAGAGGGTCCTGCCCCCCAACTCCGCAGTCAGACGGGACTCTCAGCCAGCCAGTTAAACAGAGGTTTATTAGGCGACAGGAACATGGTCTAAACCAGAGCTTGTAGGTACAGAGAACAGGACCCCTCAGCTGAGTCCATTTTGGGGGGCAGTGAGCCAGACAACCCCGTCTGCCCTTCACTCCATGTCCCCAGCCAGCCCCAAACTGACTCCCCGTCCAGCCCCCCCTCCTCTGGGCTTTGTCCCTTTCCCTGGCCAGGATGTCACCGGATCCCTTTGTTCTCCAACCCTTCAGCTCTCACCTTGCAGGGAGTGGGGGGGAGGGCCCAAGCCACCAGTTGCCAGGAAACAGGGTGTCGGCCATTCTCTGTGTCCAGACTCCTGCACACACCTGCCCTCTAGGGCTCTGCAGTGATCACACACCCTTATCCCACCACCTAGATAATTAAGAACTGCATAGGGGAAACTGAGGCACCCCCACAATATTCAGAGGAAACATTAAGAACAGTCCCGCTTCGTCACATCTCTCCCCCCTTCGAGACCAAACTGAGCGGGGTCACTTTAGCCAGTGACTTGGGGAAGTTCGAAGCCACCAACGTTCCCATGGATGCCCCAGCATCTCTCCCATTCCTTGGTAGGAGTTACACCAGGCCCTTCCAGTTTCACGCCCTCCCTTAGGTCGGGGGTGGTCGATAGCACTCGCAGGCCGCATGTGGGAAGGTTTCTGCGGCCCGTGCCCTTTGGCCACCCCAAAACCCCACGGGGTCAAACTGGGATTGGGTCTTCTCCCCAACAAGCTGGCCAAACACAGACACTTGGTTAGAGGACTGTTTAACTTTCTTAACAGCTTTCACTCCATCTGAGACCTTCTCAAAGCTATCCACACTGGATCTTCAACAGGACAGTCAGTGGATCCATTCACAACAGAAAATTTCTGGCCGTTAGGAACTGAAACTTTCTTGATTAAATCACTTTCACACCCTTCAGTGGCAGTAAACTGCTTGCAAAGACTCCATGAGGATTCCTTTCCCTAGGGCTTTTCTATGCAACAATTCACCCCTCACAGAAATTCTGCTCTTACCCTCTTTACCTAGGGCTTGCTCTAGAGGAACACTTTCCTGAGCAACAACGGACTCTTTCTGGGTCTCTCTTACATCCAGAATTACCTCTGGCCCATCCGGCAGATTCCTACACAATCCCCTTTCAGGCAAACTTACAGACTTCCGAGATAAAAGGTCAGAAGCATTCTCCTTCCCTTTGCCACACACAAGTTCAGGAATCTTTTCCTTCTTGCTACAGGTTACCACACCCTCAGTAGGTAACACAATCACATCACCTTCATGCTCTCCTTGTGCCCTGGCTAGGATCTCACCCTGATCAGACAGAGTTGCGATGCCCTTTCCCAGCCACACACTAGCAACAGGCAAAATACAAGCACCAGAATTGTCTGCTTAGCTTTAAAAGCCTAATAAGTGCTGCGTGTACTAAGCCACAAGGGCACCTCCACACCATTCAGAGGAAACAGGCTAACTCGGCTCCACGCGGAGGAGGCTTTCCTAGCCTCAACTCTGAAGGTGCCGCTGTCTGTTTCGCTCCATGCCCCCTTGCTCTTGTCCGACAAGACACAGTGGCCGGAAATCCCTGATCTCACCCATCCCATTCAGCATTTCCTGCGTCTCTAGGGCGTCCCCTCTCGTTCCCCGCCGCCCAGGAGAGCTGGGAGGCATCCGGCAGGACCAGGTCACCTGGCTGACCCTGGCTGCGGGGCTCCTGGGGGCTGGGAGGGCAGCACGGGACTCCGGACAGTGCTGGCGTGTTAATATGTTTTAATGGGTTGATTTTTCCCACTCGTTGCCTCTGACAGAAATTCAGAGTGATGGGGCCTGTCAGGCAGGTAGCAGCAAGACAAGAGGGTTATAAAACAATTAATTGCCGAATAAACCCCTGCTTTAATTGTTGTGTTCACACCGGCTGACACCGGCGACTGGCTCGGGCTGCTCTCACGCTGGGCCGTGGCTGGTGGCTCACGCACAGGCTGCTACGCCGGAAACCTCCTCTGACCCGGGAGGCTCCCTGGCGCTCCGGGCATGAGCTGTGCCAAACACAGCAGCCATGCTCCAGAGCGTGGCCAGTTCGGGCCGCAGCCTCGCCGTGCAAGGAGGTGTGCAGGGACTCGGGTCGCGTGCAGCACCCCCAGCTTGCCTGCATGCCAGGGAAGGGCATTTCCCTGCCCCATGGCCCTGGCCTGCCCTCCCGCTGGGACATGGGGGGCTGGGCCCTCCCCTTGCACGCTGATGGGCTGGCCAAGGACCAAACCCAGATGCTCTTCCACTGTTAGTTGCGGCCCCACTGGAGCCTGCCCCATGGTGCTTATAGGACCCCACCCCGCACACAGCCAAACTCGGGAGGCTCCCAGGCAGTTGCTGCCCCACAGACGCATGTTTCAGAGCTACCTGACAGTCCATGTGGGTCTGCATGGGGCCCAGTGGGGCAGCAACGCCCCCACACCGCCCTGCTGGGACGGCTCCGCCAGGGCAGGGGGCGGAGCAGCAGAGAGCACCCGCTTGGATCCAGGGCTGCAGCAGACGTCAATGCAGGAACCGGCCATATCCCCTGACTGGCCCGGCGGGGTGAAGGAGCTTGGCGCCAGGATGGACCCGCCAGGCCACTGGATCATCCCGGCCGAGATTCCGCTGGGGCTTCCGGAGCGGCGCCGGGGCTGGATGGCGCCTGGGAAGGGGCTGGGGGTGGCGTGGGGGCGGCGCAGGATCTCCAGCTGGGGCCACACGGGACCATCCCAATGCCCCGGCCGATCAATTCCAAACCACTGGTGGTGTTTGGGCATCAACGGCAGGACCCGACTGGTTTGGGGGGAGTGAGGGCCACATGGAGCCCCTGGTGTCTGGTCAGCAGAGCCCCAGCCTCCGGCACGGCAAATTCTCTACAGATCCCAGCAGAACCTCACCCCTTCCAGCACCCCCCCCATCTCATCTCTCGCCATCTCCCAATACAGCTTAAACATGCCGACACCTGGGGGGTAGGTAGGAAAGGAAGGCATTGGAGGGGCACATGGAGCCCCTGGCATGGGGGAGGGGAGGAAAGGGGGCAGGGAAGGAACGGGGTGTGATGAAGTGGGCCTGTTCTTAATGTTCCCTCTGAATACTGTAGAGGTGCCTCAGTTTCCCCTAAGCATTTCTTAAATCTCTAGGTGGTGGGATAAGGGGGTGTAATGGTTGCAGAGCAAAGGGCCAGGGTACATAAATGGCTGACACTCTGTCTCCTGGCAACTGATGGCCTGGGCCCTTCCCCCCTGCAAGGTGAGAGCTAAAGGGTTGGAGAACAAAAGAATCAGGTGCCCTCAAGGAACAAAGCCCAGAGGAGGAGGGGATGGAGGGAGTTTCAGTTTGGGGCTGGCTGGAGACATGGAGTGAAGGGCAGACGGGGTTGTCTGGCTCACTGCCCCCCAAAATGGACCCAGCTGAGGGGTCCTGTTCTCTGCACCTGCAAGCTCTGTGTTAGACCATGTTCCTGTCGTCTAATAAACCCTTCTGTTTTACTGGCTGGCTGAGAGTCACGTCTGACTGCGGAGTTGGGGGGCAGGACCCTTTGGCTTCCCCAGGACCCCGCCTGGGCGGACTTGCTGTGGGAAGCACACGGAGGGGCAGAGGATGCTGAATGCTCCGAGGTCAGACCCAGGAAGGTGTGAGCTGTTGTGTCCTGCACCCGAGTCCTATCTGGCTTCGTAGGGGGCAGTTCCAGAGCATCACCTGGGGACTCCGTGACGTGGGGGGCACACAGAGCCCCTGGCATGGGGGAAGGGAGGGTGCACAGGGAGTTTGGGGGCAGAGGGAGGGGTACAAAGCACCCTGGTGACTGCACTGAGCTCAGCCGCCAGGAGCAGTGGAGGGAGTGACGCCCCAGTTCGTCACCCCAGCCCAAGGGGAGTCAGGTGCGGGGAGAGGTGGTGACCTGGCCTACCCAGAGAGGCAGGGCCGGAGCTGGGAACAGAACCTAGGAGCCTTGAGTGCCCCACTACAACCCTAGGCCCCGCTCCCTCCCAGAGCCATCTGCCTGCTCACACCCTAGCACCTGTCCCGCTAAGAAGGCACCACGCTGGGAGCAAAGGAGGTTTCCCCGGCTAGACCCTCTGGTGACCTCTTGCCTTGCCGCTGCGTGGTGGAGCTGGGGGCACGACCGGGATCTCCAGGGATGCAGGGACCCCTCACCAGGCCCGCGTGTTGTGCCTGTCCCTATTGCTGGCCGTGGCGGTGCAGCCGAGCGGGATCCCACCCCAGGCCAGGCGAGTGGGTATTGCTGGGCTGGGACCCAGGGGAACAAGGCAGCAGCAGCTTGCCCACGTCAGCTGGTCGAGGCAAACCCCAGGCTGCTCTCTAGTGCCCCCCGGGCAGGCCCCGGAAGGCCGTGGCGGTGCAGCCGAGCGGGATCCCACCCCAGACCAGGAGAGTGGGTATTGCTGGGCTGGGACCCAGGCTGGCATGTTCCCAGCGCCCTCCCCCGCTCAGCAATCCGCAGGCGGGCACTGCCAGCCGCCTGGTCTCCAGGAGTCGGAGGGAGGGATGTAGGGTAAGGAGCTCGGAGGACAGCTGGGGGGGCTGGGCTGGCGGAGGCCCCCTTCGCCCTGGTGCTGGGGGATGCAGCGGGAGAGGCCCAGGCAGGGAAGGGACCACACCCCCTCTCCCGCGGAACAGCCCCCGTCTCTTACCTTCTCCTTCTTCTGCTTGGCGGCCTCCTCCGCGGCCAGCAGGGCCTTGTAGTAGGAGCTGCGCTCGGCCGTGAAGTGCACCTTGGAGAGCGCATGCTCCACCAGTGCCACCGACAGGTTCGCCCCCTCGATGTGCAGCCAGCCAATGAAGTTCCCGGCCTTGTCCATGCCCTCCACTTCCACCTCCACCTGCGGGCACAGACGGGCAGGCCGGTCAGCGTGCGGCCAGGGAGAGCACAGGGAGGGGCGGGGCCGGCGGGCACAGAGCCGAGTGGCAGGAGGGCAAGGAGGGACAAGAGGAGCATGGACGGGGGGCTGGGGGAGCATGGGGGGGCAGGGCCAGTGGGCACGCAGCCGCAGGGCAAGGGGAAGCACACCCCCAGCTACAGCTCAGCCACTGGGGCTTCGCAGCCGCTCCCCCAAGGGGCTCCCCAAAGCACTCCGGCTCCCGCCCGAGGGCTCGCGTCGACCGCTTGGGAAGGAAAGCCTCTGCCCCACGGACAGCCACGTTCCAGGAAATTCTAAATCACGGGGCTCTGCGCTCAGCCCCACGCTGCCTCTGGGGCCGGCGTGGCTCTGCAAAGCGATCAGCGCCGACCCAGGCACCAAGCAGACAGCCGGGGGGACACCAGGGGCTGGCAAGGCACCCGTCACTGGCACCGCCTGGACGCCAGGCCAAAGTGTTCCCAACCGAGGGCCCAAAACGGCTGTCTAGGCCCCTGCTCTGGCACCAGGCTGAGCAGCCCTGAGGGTCGGGGAGGGGAGATGAGTGTCTCCAAACACAGCCCCTGCCCGCCCCCCTCAGTCCCAGCCGGACGAGACCCAAGGGGCGGAGCAGCTGCCGGGGCTGGCCTGGTGCACGAATCGGCGGGGCAGGCGGGCTGCTCGGGGACGAAAGACATGACCTTCCCTCGAACGCTGCGTAAGTCCCCACCCGCAGAGAGCCAACAGTGGGGGGAGGGGCTGGCGCCGGGCCAGCGGGGGGAGACGCAGGGCCCCCCTACTGGAGCACCCCCAAACTCTATGCTGGCTCCCACAGCACCCTGCCCACCAGAAGGGAGGCTTCCAAGGCCCTGCCGTCAGATGCTGCCACCGGCCCCTGCCCGCAACACCACGGGACCATGTGGGAGTTTTTCTATGTTTAGAAGCCGCTGCGTGCCTCAGTTTACCTCTACGTGTTGCAGGACTCCCTGGGGGGTCGGGGAAGGATTAAGTTTGCTCTCAGGGCAGACTAGGAGACACAGGTGTGTCTGTGGCGCCCAGCTGGCTGAGTGCCCTAAATGGGTCATTAAAAGGCCTGGCCAAGGCCGGCCCATATCAAGGGAAAATCCCAGAAGATCAACCACCAGGCCTGGACACCTGGCGAGCAAGGCCTCAGAGGGACGGGGATTTCTCCACCACCCTGCAGAGAAGCTGGGCACAGACCCCAGCTCGAGTACAAAGGCAGGAGAGAGGGGATGAGCCTGGGAATGAAGGAAAGAGCCAGAGAGAGGGGGCCTGAACCTGGGAGTCACCACAGCTTGGCTGGGCTCTGGGCTGAGCAGAAGAGCCTCGAAGGCCCCTAGGCCGTGTCCCGTTGGCGAATACACCCGGCTGTCCTGATCACGCTGCGTCAGCCTCCCTGCAAATGCGGCTGAGTGCACAGCTACCGGTACCGTGGCCTTGTCTCTCCCAGGGCCCATCTCGGCAGGACTCGCCCAGCGGAGCGGAGCGGGAGGTTGGAGCCCCGGGTTCAGTCTCAGGTAGTGGTGAGGCCACGTGACCTACCCTGGAGGAGGAGTGAGACCCCGGGGGGCTGGCACATTACAGAGGTTCTGCCCAAAGACTGGTCCAAAGCTGGGGGCCCAGCACTGGTCCAGTGGCTCCGTGACACACAGGGCGGCTTTGGCTGAGAACGGAGCCATTGCTAAGGGCTTGTCTACACAGGGATATTCAGGAAAGTAAATCCGCATGAACTAAAGGTGTGATTCAAATCGGGTCAGTTAAGTCGTATTAACCCCATGTGTTTCAGAGTAACAGCCGTTAGTCTGTATTCGCAAAAAGAAAAGGAAGACTTGTGGCACCTTAGAGACTAACCAATTTATTTGAGCATAAGCTTTCGTGAGCTACAGCTCACTTCATCGGATGCATCCCCATGTGGATGTTCTTTATTCAGACTTAAAATGGCCTAAATTCAGTTTTCTTCATTCACCCGCTGGCGTCCCACCCTGCTCTCCTCCCAGACAGCTGCTCCCGCACTGCACCCCCTCCCCTCCCCCAGCCATGGGGCGCACAAGCCTTTAATCGACTCGTCTTTGCTTCGCTGAGTCACTTCCCTGGTGCCTCCTCCCCTGCACGGAGCTGTTGGCCTCCAAGATCCAGGAGCCAGGGCTTGAAGCTCCCGCGCGCACCTTACACAAGTGCTAGCAGATGGTGGTGCCCCATCCATGGGCAGCTGGCCCCCTCTGGGTTAAGGGGGCTGGAGAAATCTCACCAGGCCGCACTGCCGCCGGGCACCTGCCAGCCCAAAGCCCTTCCCAGCAGCAGCCGCACGCCCGCACCCTGTCTCCAGCTGACCCTGCAGGATGTGGTTCCCTACGTCGGGGCGTGGCCGGGGCACCATGGCAAGTGCTACCCCACATAGCTGGTGGCTGGCGCTTCGTGCAGCACTGCTCCCAGTGTTGTGATCCCAGGGCCTCGCAACAGCAGCAGCCGGGGGGGCCCTGGCAGGCCGCCCACCCCCCGCTGACCTGGCTGGCGCCAGCGTCGCTTGGGAGATCTGATGAGCTGGCTAAATGACGCGGAATAGCCGCGAGCATCAGAGAGAGTGGGAAGAGAGCTCAGCCAGCAGTCGAGCGCGCAGCCCCGAGAGCGAGGCCCCGGGCACACTGCACCAGGGCCCTCTTCTCCTGCCAGTGCAGCACCACAAAGCTTCCCGCCCATCTGAGCTCCCCTTGTAAACACGGGAGACGCCAGCAAAGAGCAGCCCTTACGATACGGCACTGGCCTCAGGGAGGCAACAGAAGTAAGCTTCAGCGCGCACAGTCCGCGCGGGGACGGCCGCAGATGCGGGTCTGTTCGGAAGCCTGGCACGGTTTGCTTGCTGACCCTGATCTACCGCACAAGAGAGCTATGAGAGTGGGAATGACGCGTAGCTTTCAGCGCTGCAAGGTACAATTACGGTTTGCCATGCAGACGGGCTTCCCGCCCGGTGCAATGCCATGTTAATCAATCACTCTCGCCGCTCTGCACAACCGCAGAGTGCCCGCACCCCGCAGTAGGGGTGCCTGACACCCAGGCTCAGACACGGCGCCCGCCTCTGGGCGGAGCCCGTGCGTCAGAACCCCTGCTAAAGTCACTGCCTTTCTTGGCAGCTTCCTGCTCTGGAGATCACCAGCTGTGGGCAGCTGCCATCAGTGGCACAGATAGGACGGGCGATACCAGCTGCAGACTGGCGTGAACGCTGCTCAGAGGGTCTGGCTGGGATGGAGGCGGTGACAGTGAGTGGGTCACAAGCTGCTCCTGGCTCCCACAGCGATGGGAGATCCCCCCCGTCCCAGCGCCTCGCTGCTAATACCCACTGGGAAGGGTCTGATTTACTGCATGTGATTACCCAGCGTGCGCCTGTATCGTTTGTGTATCCGAAGGTAGGAATACTGACCATCGATCTGTATTTCAACTACGCTTCTTCGGGTGACACCCCCTGCTAACACGGCAGGTACAGCAATGGAAAAGCCCAACAGGGCCAGGGCCGACGGCCCATCAACAAGAGACAGTGGGCTTGTAAAAGAGCTTAGTCTTCCTGCGAAGGTGTGGGTCAGCCTGGGAACAATGGCTCCAGGGGCCCTACAGAGGCATGTGACCATGTCACCTCAGAGAATCATAGGCTATCCGGGCTGGAAGGGACCTCAGGAGGTCATTTAGTCCAACCCCCTGCTCAAAGCAGGACCAATCCCCAATTTTTGCCCCAGATCCCTAAATGGCCCCCTCAAGGCTTGAACTCAGAACTCTGGGTTGCAACCACATACCACTCAACAGAATCACTAACCCAGGAACCTATCCTTGCAACAAAGCCTGTTGCCAACTGTGCCCACATATCTATTCAGGGGACACCATCACAGGGCCTAATAACATCAGCCACACGATCAGAGGCTCGTTCACCTGCACATCCACCAATGTGATCTATGCCATCCTGTACCAGCAATGCCCCTCTGCCATGTACATTGGGCAAACTGGACAGTCTCTACGTAAAAGAATAAATGGACACAAATCAGACATCAAGAATTATAACATTCAAAAACCAGTCGGAGAACACTTCAATCTCTCTGGTCACGCAATTACAGACATGAAAGTTGCGATATTACAACAAAAAAACTTCAAATCCAGACTCCAGCGAGAAACTGCTGAATTGGAATTCATTTGCAAATTGGATACAATTAACTTAGGCTTGAATAGAGACTGGGAGTGGCTAAGTCATTATGCAAGATAACCTATTTCCCCTTAAAAAGAAAAGGAGTACTTGTGGCACCTTAGAGACTAACCAATTTATTGGTTATATATAAATTGGTTAGTCTCTAAGGTGCCACAAGTACTCCTTTTCTTTTTGCGAATACAGACTAACACGGCTGTTACTCTGAAACCTATTTCCCCTTGTTTTTTCCTACCCCCCCACGGTTCCTCAGACGTTCTTGTTAAACCCTGGATTTGTGCTGGAAATGGCCCACCTTGATTATCATACACATTGTAAGGAGAGTGATCACTTTAGATAAGCTATTACCAGCAAGAGAGTGGGGTGGGGGGAGAGAAAACCTTTTGAAGTGATAAACACCCATTTTTTCATGGTCTGTGTGTATAAAAACATCCTCACTGCATTTTCCACTTTATGCATCCGATGAAGTGAGCTGTAGCTCACGAAAGCTTATGCTCAAATAGATTTGTTAGTCTCTAAGGTGCCACAAGTCCTCCTTTTCTTTTTGCGAATACAGACTAACACGGCTGCTACTCTGAAACCTGCCAAATCACTGAGTTATCCCCCCCCCCCCCCCCCCGAGTACTGGAACCCATCTTGAATTCTGTACTTTTCCACAAGAAGCTGGGGGGGGGGGGGTGTCGAACTGGGAGACAAAGGACTCCCGCCTTATGCAGATCCTATTTAAGGGGAGGGAGGGGGGTAATCCTGTCGTCAGTTCTCCCCTGCTGCCCTACCCAAG